CTGAGTGCACTGTAACTGTTATAGACAGGCGTGTAGCTTACCATCAGGCGCACGTTTCAGATCTTGGTTTTTCGTCTGTGAGAAATCTATGAAAGTTTTTTATTCACTCGACCAGGTATTTTATGACGAGTATTTTAGGATAATAACAATATAACATCCATCGTGACGGCAGTGCTCTTTTCAGAATACGACAGAAGAGAGTACGTTTATTTGCCAGAATACAATAATTATTATGGGTCTTAAATCAATTAAACTACGTTGTATTGAAACTGCATACAGATGTGCAAATACTAATAGTTTTGTACATAAAAATAAATACAGTTCAGAACAGGAACATATTATACCTTATGGAAAACACATGTACACACAAAGACATGTACTTTTAAACTTTATCTAAACCGGTTACACTGGCTCCTACACTTGGCAAAGCCTGTCTCGTAGGTAACCAATTCTAGAAAGGATGTAAAGTCTGTTCCAATCCATTCCGAATAAACAGCAAACAAGAGTGTTTGGTTAAAATTCTAAAGCAATCACTCAATAAATCGAACAAGCAACACATTCACATATATGTCGAAGACCTCGACTTGATATCTCACCATTGTCTCCAACAACATTCATCCGAACAGCATCGCAAAATTGTATATGAAAAATGGTAGTCCAAAAGTGATGTTACTTTCATCTATACATCCATGACCTGTCTATGGTGGCTTATTAATAATAAATTAAAATTTCGGAAATTTTAAGTATAAGTAAGGAAAACCGGCTAGAAGACTCAATTTAACAAATCCATTCATTCAATTAGTTAATCGATATCTAGTTGGCATTACAAGTGGCCATCACTAGACCGTCTATGGTCAGTGATTTGTTAGTTTACATTTTGTTCATTTAAGTTTGGTCTTTTTTTTATTTATACTAAGCGACGGTGACAGACCGAGCAGTTGTGCTGCTGGTCTTAAGCGACACGTCTGTCCATAACAGTTGCAGTGCCACTCAGAGCTTTAAACCCATTGACTTACAAATAAATGGACGACGGGTCTAATACAAAAACCACGTAAAAATGTCCCAAGTCAACCTATTCGAAATTTAAATTGTTATGTCATCGCAGTATCGCGCTGTCCGTAGAACAAATGAAGACTAAAGCGGAGTGTCGCGCTCTGTATACGATTTTAGCGCCTAACAAGTGCGGATACTTTTTAGCGCGGACCCGACGTCCATATAATTGTAAGTCAATGCCGCAAAGATCTGAAGGATACTGCCACTGCGCCTGTCACCCTGAGATATAAGTTGACAAATCTCATGTCCCCAATCTTATTCGTCCATTGAATGATACCATTAAAAAAATTTACACAGCAAAGCGTATCCGGATGAATCCGATTTATTGGATTTTATCCACTTTCCGTTAGCTGATATCAATAAAACTTGGCAAATATATGTAACGAACACAGCGAAAGCGGATAAGCAAATTTTATTATTATTATTTATTTGTTCAGCATTGGCTAGAGAGCCATCAGCTTAAACAAGTAATAGTTGGTATAGCGTCTGGCACGGTATGCTAGAAGACGTCTGTTCGAATCCGGCCGGATCGACGGAATTTTTTCTGAGTATTCGATCTTTGTATTAATAATTATAACAAGTTATATTTATTTTAAATAAACATTCATTTTGCATTGGTGTCATTCCCAACACTGTTTTCAGAATGTATAAGCTGACAACTAAAGCTTGTGTGGGGATGTCCAAGGAATTATTGGGCCATTTATTGGATAATGTCAACGTCGAAGAAAATACAACCGCCACTGAGGTTTATTTCATCGTACGCTCTTACATTGACGCACTCTTAAGACTTAAGAAATATAACTTAAAAACTTACCGCTTAATACGATATTTATTTGACATCCCGCTTGACTCCTGTCAAAACTTTCCCCGCTTCCTAATAGCGTCAATTTTCCAGATTAACCAAAGTAATTTGTATAAACTGTATTGGAATGGTTAAATTCATATTCAATTTCGGTATAGTTGTCGAGGTATCAGGAATTAGAATTGTTTATCAAGCTGTCACATTTTATTTGTACATATTTAAATCGATTGCTCCATAAAAATCCTAGTAAGTTCTTTAGACAAAATTTTACAGGAGATCCCAAAAACACAAATCAAGTTCGAACTTACACAATTTTCCTAATGTAAAAAAGTAACAGTAATAGGCGATTCTCACACTGCTCTGCACCACGTAACGGTGTGCGGAGCTGCGTTTTTTAACATCGTACCGAAGTATCTCAGTTTGAAAACATGTCAGTGTGTTGTAAGGATTACAACACACTGACAACGCGTTTCCGCGCGGGAATGCGGGGTGCATGATCCGTCGTACCGCGCACTCCGCTGCGTGGTGCGGGGCATGTTGAGTGTGTGCGTTATTTATTTATTTATTTATAAAGTGTGATAATCGCCTTATGTAGAGTACCAATCAATGAATGTATTGATGTCACAAAAATGATCACAATTTATATATTACATATTGAATCCCTTACTAACATTGAATGTTTATGTACATGTAAAGCTATAGCAGCAAGAATCAAAATATAGTATTAAGCATTTGATAGGCATTTGGTTTAGTTATTGCATTAGGAAAATTGAAATAATATTTTCAGTGCCAGTGAAGGTTATTATCCACTAATTGCCAATTTAAATATGTAGTAAGGCGCATCAGCTACTTAAAACCTGACAAGTCTTAAATACTTGTCATGTTTTGAATTGTTTAGAACCAGATTAGAGATATGCCTCACCAGATTTTAAAGCTTCGAAATCTCTGATGAATTGTAGAATTTTGAAGCGGCTGTCACCTCAATTATGCCAGTACTTACTATGGGAGTATTATTCCATCAAAATCTTATTTAAAAAAATTGTCCCTTACCAGGTTTTGCTCTGGAGCAGCCAAAATGGGTTGATGACGATGATGATTACTGGTCAGCACGAAATTGTGATTTAAGGCACGACCTAACTAATAGTTAGTGTCGTTTGGAAAGCTTCCTGACGGATAAACTACAGTTCCTATTTCTTATAAAATAAGGATTACCAATAAAGTTTCCAGTAGCAGTAAAGCTCTTTGTGGAAGAATTCGTAGAAGTACTGCCACCTCAAATATTTCTGCCGCCAAGCAGTAATGTGATCATTACTGCGATCCCATTTTGAAGAATAAAATTACAGGCACAATGGATTTGTTAACTTATGTCTCAGGGTGACAGTCGCGGTGGCAGTGCTCCTCAGATCTTTGCTATTTAAAGCTCACTGTAGCTTACCATCAGACGCACTGCTTATTTGTCCCGTCGATTAGTAACATAAAGAAAGAAGTTGTTACAAATTTAATTGTTTTTCCAATCATTACCTCTATTCACCATTTATAACGAATACCATACTTAGAAGGTTTGGAAAGAGATTTTAATCCAGTGACTAAATATAAAGTAAAAATGTCCTCAACTTGACTGTATAATGGTATAATAATATTTTATACTAAGTAGAATTTAGTAGTAGTAGAGCTCCTTGCGTCAGGGCTCGTCCAGGGAAGTTCGTCCATTTTACCTATTTTTGCCGCAAAGCAGTAATGTGGGCATGGGTCTGGTTTTGAAGAGTTAAAGGTTCTGGTGAAGTTACTGGCACATGGGACTTGTCAACTGTCTCAGTGGCACTGCAACTGTTACGGACAGGCATATTGCTTACCACCAAGTCCACGGCTTGTTCGTCCCGTCACCTAGTATCATAAAAAAATATAAAAAAGAAATATTCTTTAACAGGAACGAAGTGGAAAATTCATTTAATTAATCTTAAAACGAAGTTGCCACTTTGAAATTTCATCCCTGACAATATCGTTTATTGCATTTCCGGGTATTACAAACTACGAAAGACTCTAATTAATTAAATAAAACAAAGCATTTTCTATAAACCTTTTCCTTTTATTAAATATAAAATCGTCTTAGATTGTTAGGACCACGGAAAGTCGTTGACATCTACAACAGTTTCGACGTTATAATCAAATACATACACAAAAATTATAGCCTTTCAATATTAAACTCTAACAATAGAATCAACGCAAAAGGAAACATTGTTTAAAACAAGTAAACCTGATTGCCGTCTAAGTTATTAGTTCGAAGTAACGTTTATCGTGGAGCAAATCTTTTCTTTCATATTTTTTTCTGAGATCGTTTTGGTTTGTGTATTTCTAAGTAATATTAGATAGATCACAATCAGAAAGAAAAATGCTTCACTCTTTTAATAACAAAATGGCATTACCTAGATAAAGTAGGTACAAGGTACAATATGCCCATATTTACAATACTTACACATAAATGAAAACAACGAAAGCATTCTATTAGTAAATATATATATTTTCTCTACATTGTCTAGTTATTTACAGCCACACAACCAAGTTGTTTTAAAGGAAATCTAGTTAAATGTTCAATGTATTGCTATTAAAGTAGTTTATGTGCACTGATTCTTAATATATATAATGGAATAGTCATTGTTAATTTACATTACATTTTAAGACGCAGCGCACGTAAACAAGATATATAATATTCGATTGTAGGAATGTATATATTTTACCCGTTTTTAATATTTTGTTTATTTAAGAATTTTACTGATGCCAAAACACATTGTCTATGATAATATCGACGAATAAAAATTCCACTTTTTTTATCGAGATTAAAATGTAGTTTTGAGCAAAATATTCAATTCGACAATGGCGAGAAGTAACACTTAATTTACGCAGAGTACTATTTACTAAGGCTCAATTTATATTGCGGCGTAACGGTATGGAAGCGAATTTTTGTGACGATATTGTAGCACATGCCAGTATACTCGAGAATGGTCGCGCATTCCGCGGAAGAATTTGGCTCGTATCTACTTTGTACATTACACAATTGACCATAAAGTTCATTATGCTATGTACAATATCGTTATAAAAATTCACTTCCATTTCGTTTCGCCGCAAAATATATTGAGCCTAAGGAGGTTAAAATTTTCTTCATTAATAATAACATAAAACGTAATATTATTTATTGGTCTACATATATTTAGAAAGAAATATTGTCACGCGAAAACATTTTATGTCTGGCAAAATAAATATTTAATATACTTACAAATTCAAAACAAGTTAATTAGCAAAACGAGTTGCAGAACAAAAGCAACCATTATCATATCATCATTCGTCGGCAATAAAGTTTTCAACCCTAAAGTCACTTTTTTACACACAACTTTCAGGTCCAGGCAAGTTTTCCGCAAGGACATGTTCTCTTCTCCGAGCATTGCCTTTACCTTTTCTATGAAGAGTCGACGTTGCAATACTCCCCGAACTCAGGGTTGGTCCAGTAAGGGTCATAGTCTGACTTCCAAATGGAGAGCCCACGTTGCCATTGGGACATACAAAGTTAGGGCTTCCCAAAGTGGGGCTATTGACTACGAAGCTAGGCCTAAAGTTATTGGTTACAGCTAGCTGAGCCGTGTTCTGATTGAGAACATCTTCTTGCCCGCTGCTGGTCAGCATGTCAGCCTCAGAAGTGAGCTGTGGACGAAAACATTTCTTTTACAAACTTTTAACTAGGCTTTGAGAGGAGAATGCACTTGACCAATACACAATAACAAAAATGTAAAAAACGCCGCCCGCCTCCTGCACATACAGTTAAATAGTATATATATTGATAAATATATTCAAATGAGAGTGTCATGTGGCATCACTAAAAGCTAACTACTTACCTGTGGTCTGCCAGCAGAATCTAGCAATGCTAAATCTTCGGCTGAGAAGACAGCTCCAGTCTTTCCCCAGTCTCCTAGAAATATATTATTTTCATTAATTTTTTATATCATACAATAATAATATGATTGTGTGGCACATTTTGTTATAAAAAAAGTAATAGAAGTTTATGTTTTGCGAATGCCAAAAATGGTCGCAAAATCTTATTTAAGTACGTAAAAATTATTGGATATTAAAATGCTGGTGCAGATATTAGATTAATTCCATACCACGGACTTCTTGTATGTTAGGCCATTCGTCTTCTTCGATGTTAGGAGGAACATTTTGACTCTCAGCATCTGAAGAAATTAAGTCAAATTATTTCATACCGACTTCAAAAAATGACGACCTCGATGGTCGATGGCTGGCACACCGGTTTTTTAGGGTGTCGCCATCTCCGAGGTTCGCCGGGTCAACGCAAAAGAAATTAACTTTTTTATATTGTCTTGTATGTGGGTGGGTGCTGCAGTTATTTACTTTAGGATCAGAGCAACGTAGGTGATGTTGTCTAATATTTATTATATATTTAAAAAAGAGGAAGTTCTCAATTCGAATGTATTTTTTTGTGTGTATTTTACGCGATTACTCAGACTTTATGAACCCATTTCGATGATTCTTTTTTCGTTGGAAAGGAGGTACCTCAGTTGTAGTTCCATTCAAATTTATAGAAAATATTCCGCCGCTAAGGGTGAATTAGAGGATGAATTCGGTTTATTGGATTTCACCCACTTTTCGATGTAGTTCTAGTGAAAATAAAATGTTATGGTGTCCTAGAGTTGATCTGATGATGGATATGGCAGACTGATGAAAGGAATTCCTCTATGGTGTAAAGCAGCTATTTTATATTTGGGCTCATATGATTCATTTTAACAAAATTTCCATCTGCGTTTCAATTGTTGGTCGCGGCAACGAAACACAGCGAAAGCGGATAAAATAAAGTTTTGAGATCGGTTCTTTTTTTATTAAAGAGTTATCAAAAATCACATATGTACGATTCCAAAACAACTAAAACCGAAGTTAAATAGGTCTCTGTTACAGAATTTAAAAAAGACGTCTTTTATGTTTTTTGTCCCGTTTGCTTACCAGGTGGATTTAAAATGTCGGGCTGTGGATCAGGTGTCTTCAGTTCCGGTGAAGGTTTGATAGTGTATGCAACGACATATCTTCGACCACCGTCGCTGAACTCCAAGACGTCACCAGGAGGATGCTTATGAGGTGGCTGGGAGCGACGACGCCGGGCACATAAAGCTGCGAGTGCAATGCCACCAGCGGCTACCGTAGCAGCCAAAATTATCGCCACCATTACACCTAGTGTCACTCCGCCCATTGAAGTTTTTCCATCTGTATTTTGGATAGTTTAGTTAAGATAAAGGACACAGGTAATTTTCAAGTTAATTCTCTGTACCTAATTTCTGTGGCAATTTTTATTACTTAAGTATTCGAGAAAATATAAATATATCTCTATATAAAATTAGATGAAGAAAACTAACATGATAATTACCCACACCGCATTTCCAGCTTAAAAAAATAATATTTGTTTTTTTTTTGTGGTGCCCAATTGTGGTACGCCGGCGGCTCACGTGGCGTTGAGAGTGTTAATAATGATTAAACCACCTATGTTTGGTTCTTAGAGACATAGCTTGCTGGGTAAAATTCGAAAATAAATAGTAGCCTGCTGCAGTTGAACTTTTGTAGCCAGCTGGCAGCCCATATTGCTTGATACTTAACATTCGAAAATACTTAGTGGCCTGCCGTAGTTGAATTATTGTAGGCAGCCGGCGGCCCACGTGCCGCTATGAGTTTTAATAGTGATTAAACCACCAATATTTGGTTGTTAGAGTCAGGTGTCTGTAATTTTAAGATCTTGGAATTCTATATTATCATTCTTATTATTTGACTCTGCGTGAAAATGTTTTTAATTAGCATAGTTTAAATTACATTATCTACTTACTCGGGATTTCATGAAACGTTTCTGTTCGTTTTCCACATTTTCGTGTTCAACATTCAACTTTGTTTTTAGGGGAAAAAAGATAATTATGCCGCTAAGTGAAAGCTTTAAAATTATAATTCTAGAATAATGAGCCTAGAAGTCCTCGGAAAGAATTTTTAAGTAGGAGAATGGATAAACTCCAGTCTCAATTTTGTACAATTCACAGCCTATTTGGGGATGGTATAATAAATAGGATCGTTTTATAATTTTTTTTTTGTACTGACGAATATTTTGCAGTTAAATGTGTTTTACCATCAGACATTGGATTCAATTTCATTCGTTTCTATTGTAAGTGCATTTCACATTCGGTCAGGCTAACCCAAAGTAACTTGAGGATCAATCAACACCCCTACTATTTCCAACTAATTTTGACCGACCGATTCTAATGGAAGTCCAATGAAACTATTTCTAACTTTGCTTTTAGTGATCGATATCACTACAATCTTTCCAATTCAAGACCGTAATGTTTGTACCTTAATTGCATTCCTATGGTTCAATATTAAAATAATATATTATTTTCTTTCTTACATACCAATAAAAGAATAGAGTACATATACGTTTCTATGAAAATAATGTTGTACTACGAATTGTAGTATCTTTCGTGTCATAATTTTGAATTATATTAGGGAGTATTTAATGGGTGACAAGAGCGGGTGCAAGGCGCGTGTCCGGTCGCGAGCACGACAGGTTTAATTCCGTGTATTTAAGTGGACGATAACACAGCAAGCGTGGGCGCCCTGTGTTATCGTCTCGCGTCCACGTGTGGTGCGTTGTCGTCCATACAAATACACGGAATCAGACCCGCCGTGCTCCCAACTCGACACGCGCCCGATCCGCACCCGCTCTCTGTCACGCTTAATAGTAACTTATCGTTCATTACATAATCCGTCTTCGAATAGCAACTTTCGGTTTGCTTCATGATATTCTGTACCGAGTTACCTTCTTGATAACACCTATTAATCACCTAAATGATGTACGAGTAACGAAACAGCTGTTGTACCTGTCCTTCTAGCGGCGTCGTTGAATGCAATATTTTCAAGCAAAGTCTTTTCGGATTCTCCTTTTAGGTTTTTGGCATAGATCAGCAGATTGAAGGTAGCGCCTTCTGAGTCCCCGATCGAAGACAGCTGCGACAGATCTAATTTGAAGACCACCAGACCATCTAGAAGGAAATATTGGGAAATATTGGAAATATAATATAAAATATTTAATTTTTCAATTAATTATAATGGGGGTAACAAAAAGGTTAATTACCTATGTATATAATATAATCTCAGTTAGTCATTAATTGTAAACAACTTCCACGGCAAGAAAACGTACAATACAAGTTTGCGATTTACTGCGTCCATTTTTGTGAGAAACTAAAGAGGTAAACGTACGTTGCATGGTAAATTTAGTATACGGTGGAATTGCTCACTTGTTTCATCAAACATTTTCGTATCACCACGACTCCGTAAGAATTATAATAGTAATTATTTTAATTATACGAGACAGTTATTTTTCTCGTTCGATATCTTTATACAATAATACATTGTGTAACACGGATATATTTGGCATCTCATTGAACAGATTTAAGGTAAGTATCCACTACAAACTATTTAGTAGTAATGATGTGGCCCAGTAGGCACAGTCTACTTGCGGAGCCTGTAGTCGCGAATTCACATCCCGGTTAATTAGATTTTTTTCTTTAGTTTTAAGTACCGTTCACACATCTATGGTTTAACTATTCGTTTTTGCTTCAAAATAATGTTTATTTTTTATTACTATTTATAGAAGAAGATATACGAGTCCTATACCTACGGTGGGGTCGCGCTCGGCCTGCGGCGCGTGGTCACTTTCAGATTACGGGGTGTGCTTATGCTCTTCGGTGGCACAGTGATTAGTACTATGGGCGCTTGATGAGGAGGTTCCAGATTCGATCCCTTATTATTTTATTGATCGATATCACTACAATCTTTCCAATTCAAGACCGTAATGTTTGCACCTTAATTGCATTCCAATGGTTCAATATTAAAATAATATATTACTTGCTTTTTTTTCTTACATACCAATATAAGAATAGAGTATATATACGTTTCTATGAAACGTATATGAAAAAAACGTCAATTTATGAAAAAAACGTTTTTAAGTTGGTCCTGGTCAGGGTATTCTGGGTATTGCCTTCAGAATTATCGTTACTCTGGTACTCATAGTACAGGAAATTCCCTAGTTTGAGACCAGAAATTTGAAGTGATTGTTTGGCATTTTTTCCCTAAATACTTCTCTTTTTGGCATAGCTTCCAATAAAAAACAATCTAACAGACAGACGGTCGAGATACAACGACGCTACAAGTTTTATAAGTAAATAAGATATTATTTCCAGCACATCGGGAAGTATGCCTTACATTTTGAATAATTGTGAAATCTAGTCCCCGTATACCTACGTAAAGTGGCGTGCGGACGCTTCAGGCTTCGCCCTCCGCTAGACCTCGGCCTAAGGCCTCGGCACTTATGACTTATGAAAAAAATTAACATAGCTCTTTAATGGCGGCTATATTGATAAACGGCAAAAAGTAAATTTTGACTGCAAATTATTATTAAACACCCAAAATTTTGTCAACCGCTAAAAAACGTTTGTAAGGCAGCCATATTGAAAAATGGCGACAAACTAATGTTGATCACAAATTATTATCAAGCACTCCTAGACATTACAATTTTTGAAGGAATCAGAACAATTTTTTTTTCTACTGCCAACAAACGCTTGTAAGGCGGCCTATTTGAAAATGGCGAAAAACCAATTTCGAGCACAAATTATTGTCCGGTACTCCGTTCCGTCCGGTACTCTAGAGGCCTCCACATGACAATTTTCAGCTGAAACAGAGCGAGTCTCTTTCGGCAGCTATATTTAACGAAAAAAACACTTATATGGCAGCCATATTAAGAAATAGTGAAAAAAAACCTTTGACCCCAAATTATGATTAAGGACTCATAAAGACTGAAGAAATCCTATGCGAGTGTATACGAGCTGAAGGCTGAGGTTCAGAACACAATTTGTAATACAATTCATCACAACACGTTATTAAAAGTTACTGAAAATGAATTAATTGGTTAAAAGATTAAATTTACGTATCCAAGAAAATGAAGCTCATTTCGAGCAACAATTTCGTTAGATTACCATTTTTTTCGTTTTATGAAAATACGTTAAGATTTCATGGTTTTTTTTTTCATTTAATTTTGTGAGACAGATTTTATTCTTATAATTAACCCTATCGATCGATGCAATAAAAGTGCACGGTGTGTTTTTTTCAGATTAAAGCGGGTTCGATTCCCGCGTGTTGCCAGAAATTTTCAAAAATCTATGAATGCAGTTTTATTTCTTTTAAAAAATAAAGGAATGTTTCCTATAAGTAAAAATTTATATATCCAGTATTTAGAGTACTTTCCCTCCAGGTGGCATTACAAATTTCCCCTGTAAATAGTGTAGTATTGGTCTATGTATAGCGTTAAAAAGTATTTAGCTATTTACTATGAATATATAAACTATAGTGTAGGGGTTATGGTCGTTCATTGCTCGTTAACCAGTACGCCTTAATCTGAACCTGAATCACAAAGTGAAAATTATTCACCTCTAGTGATTGAGGGCGATAAGGAATTTCGTTTCTGAGGCATTTAACATCTTCGTTGATTATCAATTCGACTGTATGTTTTTTTGTATGTATGTATGTATGTATGTTACGCGATGATCGATTTTGAAAACCGATTTTGATGATTCTTTTTTGTTGGAAAGAGGGTACCTCAGTAGTGGTCCCATTTAAATTTGAAGAAAATATTCCACCTCGAACGTATTTGATTCAGTTGCTTTTAAGCGTTTATACGGGGTGTTCACGATATAGTGTAATGGATCCTTTAAAAATAGAATGCATTTATGAAGCATTACCAGACGATGTTAGAAAAAGAATAAGAAGCTGGGTACATCCACTCGATATGAAACGATTAAAGTATGGGCAGTTTGTTTAGTACTACCACATGCCAATAAATGTTTTTCAAGAATTGTTAAGCCTAGTAAAACCTTTTATTACTAAGTCAGATCGGTACAAATACGAGACAAGCCAATCAGTCCAGAGGAAAAACTAATAATAATAATCAAGAAAGTTCTTCTATTATTTATATTTTAATTTCCGTATCGAACATCATCGCAAGAAACGTTTATACTCACGCGTATCCTATACCAAAGTGACCCATTCCCTCACCCCTACCTCCACACACGCCAGCCCGTCGCAAGATGCGACCGAAAGTCAGTCCTCATTACGCCCGTGAGTCGACAGATAACTCATTTTGCGTCGTCGTGTGAAACAAATCGTACTTTTTATATGAAACCGAATGCAGCGCCAACTACGCAACTCAAACTTCGCGACTCACAACTCATAAATTTGCGCTCGTCTTCCCTCACACTTAGTGTAGAGAGTGCCGTAATATCTAATACCTTATTAAGTTTATGCTAGTCAACAATAACGAGATTCCATTAATTGGACTGTATGTGTAGGACTCTAGGATGGTTTTGCTTTGTCTAAACAAAAGATTAAAATCTTACCAGTCTCATTAACATTGCCGTTGAATCTAGTTCTCCCAGTAACAGGATCCAGGGCTTCCAGCTGAAAAGTTTGAGGCAATCCGCCGTCGTAGCCTGCGACGCAGCGTACACGCAACCATGATACGCTGTCAGTGCTGTGGTTGCTGGCTTGAAGTGAGCAATTTCGTGGAGCTGTTGGTCGTGCTGTTAAAATATATACATGTGTGTGTAATATGCATATGTGTTTAAATTTTAAACCAAATTTTGAATTATAAACCAAAGGATTCACTGTACACTGAGAAGTAAAGTAAAGAGTTAATCTAGCACATACTAAAAATATTATAAATACATAAAATGTTCACTTTGAAACTTGTCTCCCTAAATTTTAAGCAATATATAAGTGCACGTACATGTGTTATTATTTCAAGCCTAGCTGGGATCTTTTGACGGGTATTAGGAACTTCATTTAACAAGATTACGGGCTTACGACGGTGAGCTTGTCAGTTGCAGTGGCTTTAGCTGTGTATCATACTTTGAACAACGTTACTTATTTTTAAACAAATTTCGGTAACCATTCAGACGCTAATGCAAATTAAAAATAAACGTTACACAATAAATAGATTGTAATTTTTTTATAGAGACAGAAATGAGTCTTAGACCTAGCGCTCATTGACGGGATGGCTCGGCAAGGGGATCCTACGGCGTCTCTACATGCAAGCGCACACTAACGGCAATTAAAGCGCGGTATCCTTAGGTACGACGAGGCATCCTTAAGCATGCCTAACCGTCGTTATGCATGCCGAAGCATTCCGTCGCGACGTTGTGTTCGCGCCTAGTCTCTCTTCAGATCCGTCTTGCCGTGCGTGCGTGCGGTATTCTGAAGCATCCCAAAGGCTACCGATGCATCTCCAAGGCTGCCGGAGCATCCCCAAGGCTGCTGAGGCATTCCGGTATTCGGCATCCCTAAGCATACTGCATCTTTATTTTGCACCTACGACCATTATCATTGGGGTTTCAATTTTAATGACATATATTTATGGTATGTTACTTTTCGTCACCTAAAAATCCCTGACCGTCTCGTCCCTCCCGGGCATTACATATAATGATGATTTATACGCGTTCCTTTTTATTGTTTTTCAGCATCTGGAAGGCGGTTCATAACTAGCATCTTGTTTATATTACGAACGTTATTGTAAAGTGAAGTTGAAACTGAAATATAACTGTTTTCAATGTTAATTTACAATGTTCCTATTAGGTGCCTTAACGTATTCGCGACATATATAAATCACTCAACGTAAGCTAACGAATTATATCGCACGAGGTGCGTGCGTTGAAATGGAAATTAAGTGCACAGCTAAAGTCACTAATTTCGACCCGACTTATGGCAGAGGGTGATAATTTAATGTGTTCTATATTGTAACAAACTGCGAGGTTATAAAACATTCCTTGCTTGGGCGTACTTCGGTGCATCTCGCTTCGGCTAACTCGTATTTCCCACAGCAGTGTCATAGAACTACAATAACGAGTTAGAAGAGTTCTACAAGTGCAGTTTGTATCTCTTCATAGTCTAAAAGACTGGAAAGTTTTGTGCGGTGCAAAGTAATAAACTTGTATTTTATTATTTTAAAACAATTAAAAACTACGGTACGTTAATTTTACATTAAAACAAATGGCACAAAACGAATATTGATTATTAATTCAGATCTCGTTCAATCGGCAAAATAAAGTTTTGTCTGTGCAGAGAATTACTAAAAGTACCTAAATAAAGTTACACTAGATTTTACCAGCGTGTGTTGGTGAGAATTGATGAGTTCATTTAAAATTTATAAGAATTCTTTGCTTTCGTTTCACTGAGAACTCTAAGAGTGGATAAAAAATGCATGTTAGGAGCGTCTGGTAGGCGCTTGGGGCTGACAGGCATCCTCGGCGGTAAACTTAGTAACGAGATAAGAATAAACAATCTACAGAACAGCTACTATGCGCGTCTCTAACAGTGCTCGTTTCCGCAGCCGACCACACTTTCCAGTGGTTAACTGCATGGCTGCAACTGTTAAATAAATTTCGCAAACAACGCGTTGCGGTTTGCGCTTTTGAAATGTATACTTATGGAACTACGCCACTCACAGCTGAAAATGAATAACGTCTGCCTGCCTTCACTCGTATTTGATTCAATTGTCTATTGTTTCTACGATACATTCCACAAGTAAAAGCAGAGCAGTGATGGAACAACAACAATTTAATGTTCACTGATCTCGAAGTAAGATTATTGTGCTTCCAGCCGCTTTAGATCCACAAAACGAGAGTTATGAGGTTTGGCGTGTTGGACTAAAAGCCGCAGGCCGAAATTATAAAACGCGAGGGGGCCATGTTGTTGATACAAATGTATGCATGCGCCATTATTATTGTTTTTATTGGATATTCATTTTGGCTTGCTTCTTTTAGGGTTTTTAAATCTAAAGGGAATATTTGGTTTGTGGATTTTGGTGAGGCTTTTTGATTGCTCTTTTATCTATGTGCTAAATTTTGTATAAGTGTAATAAGTATCCTATAGTTAGATGTACTAAAGTTGCGGTCTTTGTACACACGCCAGCACATCAAGCTACACATTGACGTATCTTGTTCCTTGCATTGGAGGCGATTTTCGAACAAAAATGTGTAGTCTGATGTTCCGTTGCCTGTACTTTATATCAGCCGGAAGACGTCTACTGCTGAACATAGGCCTTCCCCAAAGATTGCCAGACTAGCCGGTCGGAAGCGACGTGCATCCATCAGTTACCCGTCGCCCGTACCAGATCATCCGTCCATCTAGGTAGTAGGTTCGTTGTCTCCATTCAAGAACCTTTCTGCCTCAACGGCTGTCAGTTCTACGTGCTATGTGCCCTGCCCACTGCTACTTCAACTTGCTAATCCTTTGAGTTATGTCGCTAACTTTCGTTCTTCTACTCCATAGATTTTTTTAGTACCAATGAGGAGAATGAAATATTAACTAGGCAGTCGACAACGACGGTCGTTACGTTGAAAGAATTTTTAAGTATCATTATGTTTAGAGATAAAGACGTTTCATCTATTATGTATTAAAATGAGTAAGTCCAACGATCTTTCCATCAATAGATTCAAATGCCGATTGCTCAAAAGATCGAAAGTACGAACATTGAAAATGTGATTTTCCGAATGTTTGTTGTTGAAAACAATCGGCATTTGAACAGTATTTTGTAACTGGGACTATATGGAGAAATCTAAAGCCATAGCAGATACAGGAAAACAGTTTGAGGTACCATTGAGTCTGTTTTTTGAAAATGTTGGTGTAGAATATTTATTGGGCGAAGGATGAATTTTCTATACATAACAAATCAGTTTTTTTTATGATGATATGATGTCCCCATGTAACCGATAGGTAAAATTTAGCTTATTCAAGATTAACTTGTCTGTGATTCCAGAACAATAAAGAACTCTGTTAGTCACGTCTGCTTTAATGCTCAATTTGCTCACGTAGCTTTTTGTTTCTCTAATATAATAATGTCAATACTTATTAGCGGGAACGATCGGAAGGGACAGGGTCTTCCTTCACGTAATAATATTATTGCCACTGTGAGCTGGTTTTGTAACAAATAACAATATCATTAATATAACACGCAAGGCTGCCGAATTAGTTTGCGACGATACAATATACGGAACAATAAATGTTAAAGTGTAAGTTGATAGAACGCTTGCTACCTGTTAGAAGGAGTTAGGTTCAATTCCCATCGGAATCCTGCAACAATGACTCTTTTCGAGTCACGTGCAGCTTAGTTGTTTGTCATTAGATTTAAAGGCGAAATTAAGAAGTCGGAGAAACACAAAAAGTTTCGAAATCATGAGAAGTCTCTATATAGTAATGGGTAGGCGTGGTGGACTAGAGCCTAGTCTAGTTAAGTCAAAGTTAAATAATCTTTACTTCATAGGTAAGCAAATTACACTTGAAATCGTCATACTGATTAAACTCTACTACTCATTCGTAAGGCAGATTTCCCTGAGAAGAATGAGCAAGAAACTCTAGGGGTTACTCTTTGTAAATATACATTTGAATACATTGATCATTATAATATTTATTTAAACATCTTAGATCGAGAATGTCTGAAAGAGCTAAACGGGTCACTGCCAAGCCTTTGACATCCAAGTACGCAGAAGTTGTAAACAACCTTTAGTGTAAAGTTTTTGTTTCACAATAGTTTTAGACCTCGCAAATGGCAAATTTTGAATATCAATCGGAATGTTATTATAGAAGCGTATGCATTGCTCTTTAAGAGAATCTGAGACTTTATGAAGACGACTGTCAAGAACAGCTAATTTTATTTTTATTCCTCGTAGTAAAGTTATGTCTGTCACTATTTTTTATTAAAAAAAATATTTTTCTTAACATAAATAATATTTTCATAAATGTCCTGTGACGTTAGTGTAAGAATGTTAATCTCTTTAAACTTTTCTCTCATAGACACTGTAAATTGCTCTAGTCGCATATTTTTGCAGTTATAGCAGTGGATGCTTATAGTTTGAAACTTATTTTTAAAACCACTTACCAGCAGGAACAATCTGGAATATGCAAGGTTCGGCCTGCCGCCCTACAGAATTTGTTCCACGACAACTCAGAGCTCCATAGTCGCGCTCACTTTGTGGCCTGTAGCTCAATTCGCTCGTGCTGCCGTTTGCTGTACCTGAGTTTGAAATAATAATAGTAATTATTATTGAACGTGGTCAATAGGCACGTTTCGTATTGAAACGTCCGCTTGCCCGCGATGCTGACGAGTGCTGGATAATTTAATTTTATTTTATCATTTTATTCGCCTGTTCATGTTGTTAATAAATAATCAAGTTAAACTAATTTTTTATCACCCCAGTAAAATATCTAATTATATGTGAATATGTGAACCTCTACAGGGTCGTCTCGTCTTTTAAAATTATTTAAGCTTTTAAAAATTAAGTATATATCCACGACATAAAGGTGGAACCCTACTACGTCTACTTTGGAGTTAATTATTTGTACCACTTACATTTGCAAATATAACAATAGACAAAAGTTCGAGTTGTGTGCATGTACACACACCAGCATATCAAGCTACACATTGACGTATCTTGTTCCGTTGCACTGGAGGCGATTTTCGAACGAAAATGTGTAGTCTGATGTGCCGTTGTCCGTACATTATTATGTCGTGCAAAAATATTTCGTACTTAATATATTCCGTTGATAAATTCAGTGAAAGTTTTCAACTTTGCTTATTACCACACGAAATAACGAAGTCGGTTAACAAAGCTAAATGAATTTAAACTTTTGTTCTAGGCACAAACTTATCTGCATAAACTACTCGCTGTGTTTTCAGAATATTCTACCGTCTTGCATAGTTTTTAATGAAAGAAGAAAAGGGATATTAATGTCTGGACGAGTGTTACAATTAAACCATTTATTATCAGGCAGCTAAGAATATTTTATAAGTAAGAGAGAAATTAAATAAAGAATTAAATAGCGCCATCTAGCATACGTGGCGAGGACCAAAACAATAAGATCCAGTAATTGCTACACACCGTACTATTAGTAGTATAGACATGAATCGCCAGATGTCGCTACCAAGAAGGGATTTGACATGTGGCGGAAATTTATAATACTTGCTGGAAGCTTGAAACATTTACAAATGAAAAAAATAATTTTGAAAGACCAAAGACCAAAAATTACGCTGTAAAAGCTTACTTCAAGTGCTACGTCGAAACACTCCTTAAATAAAATTTGGTTTTTAAAAGGTTTTAAAAGGATACGGAGCGGATAATGCGCTCGGGTATACACGATACGACACGTAATGACTTGATATCTTAAGATTAAAGCTATCTATGATATTGTCTTTGGCTGAAAATTATATTTAGTTATATTTGTCTTTTTGTAGTTTATTTATACATACAAGCCGTTTATTATTATAAATTAATGACACTAACTTTGAGAACATTATATGTAAGTAATTTACAGGTGTAGATACTCGTGATTTGGAGATGTCGCGTTAGATTTCATCGGTCTATTGTATTTCATTCATTTGACAACATTCTGCTTAGTCTATAATAAACAAACTGGTTGAAAAAAAAAACGGTTACACGGGAACGAATCCGCTTCATTTCAGAAGATAATAGGATTTATAGACGGAATTTGTAAAGTTTTGATAACACCACTTACCGAACTTAGCAGGTGAGACATCGAGACTCTCACCGCTGTTGTTGAACTGCCAGAAAAAGTTGACTTCAGGCGGGTTGGCAGTGACTGAGCAGCGTACACGCAGCACCTCGTCGATCTGCGCGCCTAGTACTTGCGGAGACGAGTGTACGCATACTGGAGCATCTAGACAGGCAAACGGAACATGTTTAATGATTTGTTATTCTGTTTGTCTTCTTTCTTTTTCTTTCTCCTATGATACTTGTTTTAATTACACATACCTGGCACTATTGTGCCCACATTATCATAATTAACGTAATTGACATTTTTAGCGAATTTCAGCGACATTCAGATGAGGTATATATATTGGATCAGCGAGCGAAACGAGATCTATAACTCCCGTTAATGGGTTCTTATTTAGGTTCAGTTTTATTGTTATCAGTGATTGTACTGATTTTTATATGTTTAAACTTTGTTGCACACAAACAAATGGCGGACTTAATGACATTAAGCATTCTCTACCAGTCAACCGGAGAGTGGAGTTCAGAATAAATAACAATGGTGCATAATGGGTGCATAACATTAATTGACTTCGGGTTGGACACTAAAACATATTCACAATCTAATTTTCACTTACAGTTACACTTATATATTCAAATCCGCACATGCACTTACATATTGAATAGATTACTTTAGATGCACTATTCACACTTTAATATATTTATTATTTTAATGAACAATTTCCATCCTAGGCGTTTATTAGATCTTTCATTACAAGTAACTTCTAGATTTAGTAGCTTTCGTTAATTCTCACTGAAATACACATATGCTGAGTCGGCACTATTTCACTACTATGACAAAAAATGTTGTATAATGTATTTATGTTGTATTCAATTTGTATGTATTTGAGTCCTATAAAGTGTTCTATCTAACATGACAAATAAAAACAGATACGATCGAAAATTATAAATAACTATGATATTATCTACACATAATAAAATATACATACTTTTTTTCTGCTAACAACCTAAAATAATGCCAATTGTGACTTTTTAGGTGGCAATAAAAGTTTAGGTGCTCGAAGTTACCGAAACGCTAATGCGTTAGGTTAGCATCGAGTATATAACCAGAAATAGAGACGAAATGTCATTTAATTTGAAAACTATTCTGCCGTATCATTACTGTGACAACTGCGCTCCGATTGGGCAGTCCGAATTCGAAACAATTGACGGGTGTCGTCAATGTGTGTCGTCAACTGTTTCACTTCAAATCGTCCAGTTACTTGAGCTTTGCTATAATGGACGAAAATTGCAATATTACATATTTAATATTTAATTACCGATGAAATGTGATTCTGTTTGTTTTGTAATTAGATGTTTTGCTGTGTTCCCACACCACTGAATTGAAAAGCACGGTATTCGGTATAAATACAGAATATTTTTTGGAATATACCGAGACGTACACAGGTCAGTAGTTGGCCTGTCTATATTTCAGTGCAAACGAGAGTTGATATTTATAAGAGCTGTATCGCTGTTACCAGGAACATATGGCCCTTATTTCGTCTCTATTTCTGGTTATATACTCGACGTGCGTTAGTTATGACAAGGACGGCAGAATTATCATTAAACTTGCTACCCACAATAATGCATTCAGGGATTTTCAAACAAAACATACTGAAAGAACTTTGATGGCAATGAGTTTCCTGAAAGTCACATAAATTGAAAAATATGAAAGGAATAAATAAAATTCTTTTATAAAGTCGAAAGAAACCTGGATAATTTAATTTCACATTTGCTTTTCCTAAGAAGAATAACAAACATTCGTATTTTGAACAGCGCCTTCATTTCCTCCTTATTGTTACATTTACAAAAGATGAAATGCAATAATTAACCAGAAGAGATGAATTCAGGGTGAATTCAGTTCGTTAAATCATAACAGAAGTTAGGCGATATATAAATTTTATCGCACAACTGTTCCCCTCTGCCGACGTGATTCATTTAGGTTCCTACCTATATTACTTGGAAGTGTAAGAGAAAAATTAACTAGGTCGCTAGTTCAAATTGCCAAAGCGTTGAAATAAGATTCGAGAAATGTGCGTCTTTGTAGTTTGAGATTTTAATAATTCGTTTAAGTGTTTGTATAAAACATGGTAAAGGTGTATTCGAATTTCATGGCATTAAATACATATTACAAAAATTGAACGACTTTCACCTGGGAATTTTAACTTCTCACAGAGGACTTGGCTGTATGGTGTCAAACCTTTGCCTTTTCCTTCACGGAAAGAATGGAAAAGAACAACAATATTACTTGTGTCAAATGGCTGCTTACTAAGAATCCGCTTGAATCTTAAGCAAAAAACATTGTAATAATGTTTATCGCAAAATCAGCTACTAATTAGGTGCATCTAAGTCACAATTCACGACTTAGAAGCGGTTCTCAAATCTTGCCGATTACTTTATTACTATTTAACAAAGCCAAATCAATGCATCTATGCAATTTTTGTTGGTACTGGTGCTGGTCGACAAGACTACAGTGTATAGAAAATGATTGGCAAAAAAAGGTGAATGGCGTAAATGCGAGTTACTTCCAACTGCAAACGTATATAAATCTAACACCTACAATGTAACTGATATATTTTTGTTTAATTTTAAAACGTGTCAGAAATAAAATTTATACAGATCTTAAAACATGTACAAGGATAGATCAATTCTGGACAATTAAAATATATGAAGTATCCATCTAGTACATTTTTTCTACTACATATGTTGATGTTGCTCACTACAAATTTAAATTTGTCGAAGTGTCAGATTCTGGTACATCTATAATAACAAAAGATTTTAGTTTTTTGTAGTATTAAAATAAGTTTTTTGTAGTAGTTAGTGAGTAACGGTGCTGGTGACATAATTATTAATACTTAGTATAAAAAAGTAGTAACAAGTTTTGATTGTGTCTCCTGTTTGTAGACTCACATAAATTTAAAAAACAAACACACAGATTGTAATAAAAAAACAGTGCCAGTATAAACATGTTTTGCATAAATTGAATAGCATGTAAATGTTATAAAAATTAATTGACTACTACTACTAGAATAAGAATATCACAATTTATAATTTACAAAGAAAAATTATGCCAAGGTCTTTTACATTTTACTTTTTGTGACTTATTCCCATCTGATCCCCAAAACTGATCCACCACCAATTTTCAATTGCAACTGATCCCCTCTATACTTTGCAACTCCCATTTTTTTGTTTTTTTGCAAGATCCCCTCACTGTATTTCTAAGGTAAGTACAGTCCAGTGAAAAAGAAGTTTTGAAATCAAAGTTAATGCAATCATATAAGTTAGTACAGTTAACGTTGTTAATTTTTAAGAAACTAAATGAAATACAGCACAACCCTCAAATACATTGTCTTGTTGACTGTACCACAGTACCTACCAAAAATAAACTTGTGAGTACCAGGGTATTAGGGAATAAAATATTAATATTTATTTTTGATGCAGGGGCATTGGAGATCCGATGGGAATAGAAAATATTTTAAAATAAATCGGATGCCCCAGAGGATCGGTTTTAAGGGATCAGATAAGCCTATTTTGTAATATATTTAATTAATGTCAAAGAAGTAAATTATTTTCATTTAACCATTGTATAAGTTCGTTTTAAATAAACCTACATCTGATAATCTTAAGTGGTATTCTATTTACATGTCCACATATATTTCAAACCACTTTTGCTGTGTTTAGCAGTCACAGGAACACTGGTACGTACAAGTCTATTTGGGTTTCTGCAGAATCTACTATTCATATCACTGGCTTTCTTAAACAAATATGTGTGTATTCGTACAATGATACAAATTTCGCATATATATTAATGATGGCAGTGGTAAACAAACTAAGGTTCGGAAACAAGGGTCTGCATGTTTCGTACCGTGAAATTCCACTAATTTCTCTCATGCATTGCTTTTGTGCTACAAATACATTTGTAAAATTTCAAATGAAAATAATTTCATCTTAGAAATTAACATACTAATAAATAGTTCGAATAGTGTTCCATTTTTTAAATTTACACTAAAAGGAAAGAAAAAGAAGAAAGAATTTAAACTAAATAGCCAAAAGGATTAATCATTTTGTCACAATGACGAGTTGACAAAGAATAAAAAACACTCTCGTAGTATGTTTCAGCACCTTGAAAACTGTGCCTTGGTTGTAGATTTTCATTAAATTCTCAAATATTTGCTTCCCCTAAGCAGCCTACGAACGGGTTACAGGGAATATGAAAACGTGTACATAATATGTGAATTAATGCACGCCTTCGCTTTCAGTTCATATTACAGCTATAAAGTAGCTTTAATGGAATGTTTGTTATGCTTTCTTTCAGGCATTATGCTTACTGTAGATTTGCATGATTTCTTTGAAATAATTGTTTTTAAACTAAAGCGTATAATGCTAATTGCATGTGTCGATACGGTTACACGCGTACCGTTATTACAGGCTAACTTGTAAAATCATTTCAGTTGTGTCGATGGAGTGTCAGAATGGTAGGATTTTATACCTTTGTCTTTGTCAATTGCTTGTCATCGGGCTAATTTTTTTGTATTCTGCTCTTGGACAGCGAGTCGATGGTACTGAACTGCTTAAAAATTGGTATTTCTAGAAATACAGACTCTTTTGGGGTAAGTTCCTTTTGTTTTGTTATAGCATTTACGCCTTTACTTTACCTGTTCTTTTTCCTTCCTGTACATTTTATTTTTCTACAATAAAATTAATGTGGACCGACCCTCCTATTTAATTACGCGAAACCCTCGTGACAAGACTTCTTATACTATATACTTATATTTAATTTGAAGACTAAATTATTGATTAAGCGAGATAAAAATAAGAGATGTATACATAGATATACATAGTAATTTTCATGATAGTTTTCGTAAGACAACATCGATGGTTAATGATTGAATAGTGAATGTCATCACTGTAGCTCCACTGACAATTCTATTGAGACTCGACTGCCATTGCAACTAGATGTTAGCAGAACAACAATTATTATTATAATAAAATTGCAATTTAATCTCAGTGAAGTCTCATAGGAGTTACAATGACCAATGGTTTTAAGAAAATTAACGGACTTGGAGCCCTAGTGATAATTTTTGCAAAAAAATGCCCTGTACATATAAAAAGCTCACAATTATAAGT